CATTGCATCAATTCTAGTCCTTTGTTCTTTCAATGTATTATCTATTTCTGACAATTTAGTATTAATCTTCTGGATTTCTATCTGTAGATTTAGGATCATTTCTAATTTTTCATTTATTTTGTCATTTTGTTCTTGTATTTTCTTCCAGAATTCTTCTAGGATTTTGTCTGTGTTTTCCTTAATCTGTCTCTCAATCCTTTGAAGATACCTAAATATAATTCTTTTGAATTCCTTATCAGGGAGTTCCAGTGCTGCGTCTTCCTCAGGGATGTATTTTGGGTCTATATCCTGGTCCCGTGTTTCTCCTGCTTTATCTTGCTTTTTTGTGTGGACTGTGATGCTCTGTTATCTCCAAGGCATTGTGACGTTTTTGTGTTCATATTTAATTGGTGATTGTATGTTGGAGTGACTTGCCCACGATTTTTGTTTTCTTTGTATGTTATCTATGCAAGCAGGGTACTGTGCTGTGCTCCTCTATTCACTAGTTGACAGCACTTTTACACTCACCACCTGTCTCCTTTCCTGTTGTCAGCCTTCTGTATGTCCCTGCTGACCTTGGCAGACAGAGCCTATCCTTAGGTCCCTGGAATCCGAATGAGAATGCTGTCACTTTAAAATCCAAAATGGTTGCCACTTGTAAAGTTTCAAAATGTCTATGCCCTCGGTCACTTTATGTATCCAAAATGGCCGCTGCTTGTAACCATTCAAAATGGCTTCACCCTTGGTCACTTTAAATATCCAAAATGGCTGCCGCTTGTAAACAATAAAAATGGCTGCACCCTCTGTACAACAGAAAGTCAACTGCTCAGGTTGTCTCCTTCCTTGCTGTTTCCCTTCCTAGTCATAGGCCACCAGCACAGTCATCCCTGCAGCCCTTGGTGACCACAGCTGATCTTTGGATCAATTCTCAGGTCCCAACACCACTTGGAAATATTCAGGCTGTTGGTCCCGTCAGAGTAACTGACAATCCACAGCTCCGCCATCTCTGTACTCACTGTTTTCATTCAGGTTTTTCCACTAGTTGGTGCCTAATCCACTTCTGTATAGTTCCTTTCAAAGCTCAGGGCTCCAGGATTATTTTCTGTATCTTTGTCAATTGGTTTTTCTTTTCTTTGTTGAAGAGGGTCTGTGTCACTTATCTGCCTATTCCTCCATCTTACCAGAAGTCCCTTCTTTTTATTCTTAATGAATCACTGTTTGTCTCTTGACCGCTGTGAAGGTTATGCTTTCCTTCTTTCTTCACAGATGATTCAGATATATGTTTTCACAAGAATTCAGCAATGTTAGTCAACAAGTAGGGATTGTATGGAGGCAATCAACTTTGGAAAAGTAGTAATTACTTGTTTTTTTAAACTTCTATTGTGGTTTAGGTGAAAGTTTACAGAGCAAATTAGTTTCCCATTCAGCAATTTATACACAGATTGTTCTGTGACATTGCTTGCAGTTCCTACAACGTGTCAGCATTTTCCCTATTTCCATCTTGGGTTCCCTATTTCTGTTCACTCAGTTTTCCTGCCCCTTCCTTCCTTCTCAGCTTTGCTTTTGGGCAAATAACTGCCCTTTTAGTCGCATATATTTGATTGTTCTGAGGAGCATGTCCCAGGTATTCTTGTTCATTTTATAGCTGTTTTATGTGGCTGAAAGGTAATCTGGGAGTGGCTTCAGTTCTAAATTAGAAGGGTTCTAATAGCCTAATAACCCCCATAGTCTTGGGGGTTCCACCAGTCTCTGTTAAACTAGTAAGTCTGGTCTTTTTTATGAATTTGAATTTTGCTCTACCATTTTTACCTACTTTATCTGATACTTTCTATTTTGATCCCAGTGAGAGTGGTCTGTGATGATAGCCAGGCACCATCAGATTCTTGTGGTTTCAGGTTAGTGGGGGATAAGGCTCATAAATCTTTTGGACTAATTGTTTCCTTAGGAGCTCTGGTGTCATGCCTAAGGCATTTGACTACTAACCAGAAGGCTGGCAGTTCAAACCCATCAGCCACTCCTTGGAAGGAAGAGTAGGCAATCTACTTTCATAGTGATACCGACTCAGAAACCCAAGGAGGGTTCGCTATGAGCCGGATCCGACTTGATGGCAGTGAGTTTGGTTTTGGTAATTGTTTCTTTGAGAATAATTACTTATTTTAACATGGTTTTTCTGAAGGCATTAATTACTTTTCCATATTTCTACAACCCACCCATCTAACCTTATTTAAAAAAACAACAGATAACCAAACCCATTGCCATTTAGTCAGTTCCAACTCATGGCGACCCCACTGTTACAGGATGGAACTGCTCCATAGGGTTTTCTCATCTGTAATCTCTGTGAAAACAGATCACCAAGTCTTTCTTTCCTCTGTGGTGCTGTGAGGTGGGTTCAAACTGCCAACCTTTAGGTTAGTAGTCAAGTGCAAACTATTTGTGCCACTTACCTATCCTTATTGGAAGGAAGACTGGGCAGTCTACTTCCGTAAAGATTTACCACCTCAGAAACCCAAAGGGGGTTACTATGAGTCAGAATCGACTCAATGGCAGTGAGTTTGGTTTTTTTTGTTTGGTTTACCTATCCTTATAGCAAAGAAGAAATGAATTTTTATTTGCATGTGTATATTTTACTTTGATCCTTTTGACACTTGTTCTTTTTTACTTATAATAAAAGGCAATTTAAATGAAAAGAGGCTTGGCTGCACCACTGACAGAAGAAAAACCTCAATTTTTATTGGTGCCTTTTGGTTAACAACTGGGCTGCATCTCTGTGCTTTAATTATAGGCATGCCCTAAAATCGAAAATCTAATGGGACAATATAATTTTAGAGCTAATTCTACAGGTGAGACACATAGACAGCTTCTTGTCTGAAGACTTGGCTGTAAAACTCTACAGCCTGAGAGACTAAGACTGAGTAAACAATCCTCCTTTCTTTCTAGATCTTCATCTGCTGGTAGACGTGGCCTGCAAGCAAGAGCACTTTCTGAAGGAGGAAGAATTAAAAGAGTGAGGAATGGATGACAGATACAACATTGTGCACTAGCTGTAGCTGGAGGAAGACTAGCCTTGCACATGACACACTGTTGGGATTTTTTCAGTTCTGTTAAGGAAAACGTGTTTTTTGTTTTGTTAATGGAAAATTTTGTTAATTGAGAATTGGGAAATTTGGTATATTTTAGAGCTGTTCAGATTATTTACCTTGATAAACTACTAAACATCCAGCAGCTATGGTTTTTTTTTTGTTGTTTGTTTGTTTGTTTGCTGCCCAGATCCCTTTCAAATGAAAAGCCCTGGCCTTCTGTTACAGTCAAGAAGCAACTGAAAACTGCCACATCCAGGGTCCTGGAGAATGATGTGTGTGTATGTGCAGATGTGTCACCTTGCCACTCTCAAACTGTAGTCGGCACAACTCCAGTGGGGAGTTCAGTCTATCTATTTCAAGTCACAGTGTGATCCCTTTAAAGATTGTGTAAGAAACAAAGGCATATGAGGTCACCAAGATCACAGGTCTAACTGGGACAGGGATTTTAGGGAAGAAACTCTGGGAACGAGCTAATTTTCTAAGTGATTAAACAGGAAATGCTCTTACTTCCTAACCCAGCATTCTGTTTCAATTGCAAGGTGGCTGGACTTGGGCCATTCATCACACTTAACAGCCCCTGACTCTTCTTTGTTAGTGGGAGCATTCTTCTGTTTTCATTTCTTTCTTTAATTTTAATGATACATTATCAGAAATGGTAAGAAGGTTTTTGTTACTATACCACTTATTTAAATGTTTTCTAAAGAAAAGTCTTTAACTTGTTTGATACAATTATATTTATAAATGCTGGTAGATTTAAAGGTTTTAAAGCTTTATATTTTTATTAGTATTTCAGGATTGAGGGATAAAGGATGCATGTATGATATTTTTATTTTGAAAGGAAAATGTACAATGTATAAACAAAAACATTAAGGAATTTAACACAGTTTTTTCTTAGATTTTTACATTCAATAAGTATAAATCCTCACCTATATAAGATATTTTATACAAATTTTGGGAAAAACTGATTGGTAGTTATTTAGCAGAAGGTATGCCTCTCGTATTTTTTAATAATTTATATCTGGTTTAAGCTTCTGAGATAATTTTGAATAGTGGGATATATAGTAACATTTTTAGTTTATCTCACCTGTAGAATCCTAAATTTGAGTAAAAGGATTGTGGAACTAGTTTCAGGTCTGGCTCACTAGGAGGAGAGATAGCTTGGATGTCCAGTTGCTGTAGTTGATCCCTCACTTGCTCATCCAATGACAGCAAGAAATTCTCTAAAAGTCTTCTAAATTGACTAGAATTTTCTTGCTGAATTTTGCCTCAGTTTTTCTAATAAGTATTTTCAGAAACAAAGTAAATCCTAGTTTCCTATGAAACTAATTAAAAAAGGCACTTAATGAAAGATGTAAGTAAGTACTATACTAGCCATTGTGGGTATAATTTAATTCATTTCTTAAGTTGTATTGTGCCTTCCCAATGATATCAAGCCCTAGAAGTGTTTTTGAAGATCATTATTTTAAAGGATGAGCTCTGTACACTGTCTACAGTGACTCAATTTAGATATGAAAATAGGTTCTGAAAAGCAACTTGTCTGGTCCATTTGATTAGACTAGTTGATGTCTATGTGATAGGCGTTTATTTGTCTTTGTTAGCAAGGTTTAAAAGATGAAAAAATTATCTAGACTACTACATCTTTTGGCCAGACTGTATCTTTTGGCAGAATATATGAAGAAGAGACCCAATTTTAAAATGAAGGAACTTTGTCTTTTTCTGTCATGTTTATAAACTGATAACACTGTGTAAGTGATGCACCTTCCCTTAAGTATACTTTTCTTGGCTCTGTATATGTTGAAAGATATGGTATCTTTTGAGGAACATGTATCAAGCAGGAATTTTGGCATAAATTTGGTGGTTTTAAGGTTTAATTAATAAAATGCCTTAATCAGCTTTTCAAACTTTTTTATATATGAATATAACAGACCAAGGAGCTGGATCTCCCACTGTATGCTCATGCCTGGTACCTGTCAACTAAAGCTATCATCACTGACTTGGGCAAAATGACAGAAGATGAAGTAAAATCTTCATGTGAATTAGCCGGTGGGGTCTGACACATACTAACAAAGTTCCTGTCTAGCACCTCAGTATTGTAGCACCTTAAGCACCGATAAATTTGTCAGTCAGCAATAAAGTGAATGTTCCAACTAGACTTGTTGTCTTGCTTGTTTTTACTGTTTGATTGGTGACCAATCATTATGACCATTAATCATAATGGTAAAGTTCAAAAGAGGATGTACTCTGTTTTTCAAAGAACTGACTTTAAAAATATATACTTTGGCTTTTTTTTTTTCCATTTGCATTTGAACAAAAATTGAATCTTTAAAATTAAGGACAAACAGGAATATAGCTATGACCATGTACAGATTTGGCAGATATTTCTACATCTGTATTTGTATGTGCTATAAAAATGCCCATATATATAATAGAGCTAGCAGGGCAAAGTTATTATAACTTCTTAGCCACAACTAAGTACCTTGAGGGAATGAGTTGCTAGGCCTGTGGGCTTGGGACCATGGTGACAGGGGATATCAAGCACAATTGGCATAACATAGTATACAAAAACATTGTTTTACATCCTACTTTGGTGAGTAGCGACTAGAGTCTTGATAGCTTGTGAACAGCCATCTAAGATGCAACAATTGGTCTCTCCTCGTCTAGACCAAAGAAGAGTGTAGAAAATCAAAGATGAATGGAAACAGTCCAAGGGACTAGTAGACCAAGGGAACCTCAGCTTACATGACCCTGAGACCAGAAGAACTAGATGGTGCCTAGCTACTACTGGCAACCAACTGGAAAGGGATCAAAATTGGAGATCCTGGATAGAGTGGTAGAAAAATGTGGAACAAAACTCAAAATAATATATTAAATAAATAATAAGACCAGGCTTACTGCTCTTATAGTGACTGGTGAAATCCTCAAGAGTATGGCCCTTAGTCACCCTTCAGACCTGGAATCATCAGCTCACTCCTGTGGCTTAACTTTCAGTAAAACAGGCCTGCAAGGTGAACAACTACTCCAGGAAGGTGGCTCCTTAGAACAATCAACCTTGAGAGATCAGAAGGGCAGCTTAGGGAGAAAACCTCAGCAGGGTGAAACCTCAGAAGGCAGGATTGCATAGGAAAGCAGGACACAGGTTAAAAGGTAACCACCAGGAGGAAGTGGGAAGAGAGCTATTACATTGTGGGGATTACAATCAATATCATGAAACAAAATGTGTATAAGTTGTTGAATGAAAGATGAATTTGCTCTGTAAACTGCCACCCAAATCACAATAAAAAGTTGAAAAAAAAAATTATTATTGGCTATCAGGGGTGGGACGGAGGGGAAAGGGGGAGTTTCTGCTTAGGGGGCATTGAGTTTATGTTAATATTGGTAGAATAATTTGAAAAAGTTTAGAGATAATGATTGTACAACTTGAAGAATATAATATCACTGCATTGTACCTATAGAAATTGTTGAATTGGCATGTGTTTTCTTATGTATATTTTCACCACAATTTTTTTTTAATACCATTAAGGATAAGGAAAATTCCAGGATATGTTTTACAGAAACCTAGTTTTTCAGAAAAGGATCAATGGTCTTCAGTAATTTTACTTAATCCAAATGCAAAAGTTGATCCTCAAGAATGATATGTTCCGTGTGTATGATTAGGTAGTAGATGTCCGTGAGATGGACATTTCATTATCATAGTGATAAGATATTTCTGACATCTCTGTGGAAGTGTTGTGGTCACTATGTCAATTCCTGAAGGAGCACTCCAAAACTTTGAAGCTGGAGAGTAATTTTCTTGCTTGTCAATTCTGGTAACTCTGGTAGTGTAGTGCCTAAGGCATTTGACGGCTAACCAGAAGGCTGGCTGTTCAAACCCACCAGCCACTCCTCGGAAGGAAGATTGGACAATCTACTTCTATAGTGATACTGCCTCGGTAACCCAAGGAGGGGTCACTATGAGTTGGATCTGATTCGATGGCAATGAGTTTGGTTTGGTTTTTGGTAAATAAATTAAGTGTATCAACTACACTGTTTGGTTTGATCCTGAGTATTTCAAGCTTTCCAGGTTCATGATACATGTCATCATTTCCAGACCTTGGGATTTCCTCAAAAGAGGGCAATCACATCTGTGACTTTCTTCCTTCTTTCATCTGTGTGTGTGTGTGTGTGTGTGTTTACTATTGAATTTGGGTCTCTTTCCTTTGCAAGTTTCAAGTATAAATAAGTAAGGCAAAGTCCGTATCAAAGATACGTAATAATACGTATTTTGCTTGCTTTATGCTTTACTACTACATGGCATATATAAAATAAAAGTGTAAAACCATAACAGATTTTTAAAAATTCTCTCTGGAGAATTAGAGCCATTCCTATCCTTTAGGAATATGCACTTTGAACATGTTATCAGGAGGGACCAGTCCCCAGAGAGACATTATGCTTAGTAAAGTAGAGGTCAGTGAAAAAGAGGGAGACCCTCAATGAGATGGATTGGCACAGTGACTGCAACAATGGGCTCAAGGATAGCAAGGAAGTGAGGATGGTGCAGAACCAGGCAGTGTTGGTTCTGTTGTACACAGGGTCGCTGTGAGTCAGCTAACTTGATGGCACCTAATAGCAACAGGGAAAAGACCTACAGAAAAATCTATACTTGCATTCTTACGATTTCTCCAAGAGAGAAAGTGCTAAATTAAGAATTTACTTTAGAATACATCTCTCTATTCTATGTTAATTATTGCATGTAAAATTCTGAAACTAAGCTTTCTATGGGTAAAATGTTCAAGATGAATAGTTCATAATTTTGCTTTCAGATATATGTCATTTAATCTTTACAAACACCTACAATGCAATTATTACCCACATTTTACAGATGATCTAACAGGTTTATTCAATTCTGAAAGATTATTGGCAGCAGTTCAAAAATAAAATGGCCATGGTCAAATATAATTGGGTAAATTTGAAAACTCAAACTTTAGAAACATATGTTACAAACTTTTGCATTATTTCTAATGACAAGGTTTCTAGAAGGATTACAGGTCATGAGTGTAGCCCCAAAACTAGGTTTCTTTTTGTCTATACTCTTCTCATTAAGCATATTTTGCCTCTTTGCTCAGATTCATGATATAGACTTACTTGCAATCTCATGTTGAGGGCACAGGTCTGATCCATAGTATTAGGAAAGGAACGCTAGTGGTGTAGTGCCTAAGGCGTTTGACTGCTAACCAGATGGCTGGCGGTTCAAACCCACCAGCCACTTTGTGGAAGGAAGACTGGGCAATCTACTTCCATAAAGATTTACTGCCTTGGAAACCCAGTGGGGATCACTATGAGTTGGAATCGACTCAGTGGCAGTGAGTGTGGTTCTTTTTGGAAAGATAGGTGTGGATAAGGCATTTAGCACTACCCAGAAGGTCAGCAGTTCAAACCCACCAGCTGCTCCACAGACGGAAGATGGGGCTATCTATTTCCCTAAAGATTTACAGCCTCCAAAACCCGATGGGGGTCTCTATGAGTCAGATTCAGTCAAAGACAAGTGAGTTTGTTTTTTGTTTGTTTAAGATGCGAAAGTTGGATGCCAGACTTCTGACATGAATTTGATCTGAAAGCTCTGTGCAGATCTACCTGATTTTAAATTCCTAGGAACTAAGGAGCAGGAGCTCTGGTAGCATAGTGCTTAAGGCACTTGACTGATAACCAGAAGGCTGGCGGTTCAAACCCATCAGCCACTCCTCAGAAGGAAGGTTGGGCAATCTACTTCCGTAGTGATACTGCCTCGGACACCCAAGGAGTGGTCGCTATGAGTCGGGGCTGACTCCATGGCACATAACAACAAGAAGAACTAAGGAATAGCTGGGCATAACAGCCCTTCCCAGGGCAGCAGACTTAAGACAGCAATTAAGTACTACAGCATACAAGGAGGGGTCACTATGAGTTGGGTCCAACTCGACAGCACAAAACAACAACACATCATACAAAAAAGAAAACCGAACTCACTGCCGTGGAGTCGATTTCTACTCATAGCTACTCCTCCTTGGGATTCCGAGATGGTATCACTACGGAAGTAGATTGCCCAAGCCTGGGATCTCTTTATTCTGACTTTTTGTCATTTACAGACTCCAAAACCCAGAAAGAGTAGAACTCTCTTTGACTTTATAAAACCTTGTGTCCCATTCTTTCATCTTCTGGGTTTTCTTTCTTTCTTTCTTTCTTTTTTCTTTAACTCTTTCCTCAGATCACCATCTATGCTTAGATGTCCGAGTGACCCTAATTTTTATGTGGTAAGGCATTTGGCTGATAAGCAAAAGGTCGATGGTTCGAACCCACCAGCCACTCTGTGGAAGAAAGATGGGGCCGTCTGCTTCCATAATAATTTACAGAGTTGGTAACCCAATGGGGGTCGCTAAAAGTCTGAATCAATTCGATGTCAGTGAGTTTGTTTGTTTTTTGAGCGTGCTTGCTCAAAGAAGGGTACTGAGAATTGAATTGGATGCAGTTTGTCTTTGGCTCAATAGAGGGAGTAGAGGAGCTGAGAGAGGAGAGAGCGAATGAACATGTCTGGATAAGTCAGTGTGTGTGCGCGCACCCAAGCCTTTGCCCTGGCCAGCCAGGAGGAGGAGGGACGGGGTGGGGGTGGTTGCTTCTAGCTGCTCCACCCTCACTTTGTGTCAGCAGGTAGAGAGCGTGATTGCAGTCCCAGGGGAGGGAGTCAGAGCTAGAACACCAATTACAAACCACAGGCTTCCTCCTCTAGGGAGAAGCACTGGAATCCTTCCGAACTTTCCAAGTCCATCCATGATTCAGAGATACTGCCTTCTCCCTCTGGGATTTTCTGTGTTCCTGGTAGTGAAGTGTTGCTGATGTGTTTGCTCCTTCTTTTCTTTTTCAAGATTTGATCATTGTATATGCTGTTCGGGGAGAAAAAGAACTTTTGTTAGGAGATTTCAGGAATGATTTTGGAGCCTCTATGAGTGTTTTTCAGAGTTTTTGGGGACACTAGCTCTTAACCTGGAGTAAGTTTCTGCCTTTGACCTGCATGGATTATTTTTTCAGGCTGCGGAATTTCTCGGCCCCTACCTGCAGTGTGGGGCACTTGGTTTGGTTGCAGAGTAAGAAGGTGGAAGAATGAGTGTACTTGGTTAAGCAGTTGAAACCTTTTTGAGCAGGATCTTTAAGAGCATAATTGAATTGGTTTCACCCCCCGTGGATTCCAGTGGGCCCGACAGCAAACAGGTTTGCAGATTTCTTTTGAATATATATTTTTAAAATTTTCCCTCTGCCTCAGCAAAAGAAAAGAATCTATGTAACAGGTTCATGTTCAATTGCTTGGCTTTTCAGCGCTTACTCTGGAGACTCTATGCGATTTTTTAGCTTGACCTCCGAACACGGGGTTTTGTGGGGGAAGTGCATTTGTGTTTACTTAGGGTACATATTTAAAAATCTTAGTAGTAGTACAATGACCCAGATTCTCAAATGTGCCTAGATATAGCACAGAACCACTTTTTCAGGGTGTTCTACTCAGAGTCTGTGACTAATCACCTCCTTACCCCCCTACCTTTTATTCCCCAACCCCTCAAGGAATTTGAAAATGTGTTAGGAATAGTCTTTTGTTTTTCTTATGAACCTAGAAAATTACAGATTATGAGATCTGGATACTAGTTTCCAAAAGCATCTCATGGGAAATCACAGTGCTTGGCATTCTCAAGCTGGAGAATAAAAGCTGGAATCCCTGAGAGAAAGGAAATGGGGGTAGAAATATGACTTTTAACTGGGAAAAATAATTGGAAAGCTAACTTTTTCAAATGTTCTCCTAATTATGAAGGTTGGAAAAGGCTGTGGTGCTCAGGATTATATTATTAAATGTGAAGGCATACTTTTAGCTCCTCATTTATAGACAAATTTGGTAGAACATAAAAATTATAGTATGACCAAGTTCATGAAAAGTAGATAAATTCACTGGGCCTAGAATTCTGACTACACTGAAAGAGTTTAATGTGGAAACTTTTCTGAATAAATGTTGTAGCATCTTTGGAAATTCCTCAAGATGCGGCCTGAAATTTTGTTTTATTATTTTTTTCTCTCCTCCCCCTATGAAACAAAATTCTCCTTGAGGTCTTTAGTCATTTACCATGAGCAAGTTTTGTGACTTCAAAAACTCTACCTCTTCATTTTCTGAACGGTGGTTCTTAACTCTCAACTTGGATGCCTGGCCTTAGCCGTTTCTTTTGCCTTGTTTTGTTCAAGAACATTGGGTTCGGTGGCTCAGCAACTTGATACATATGGAAAACCAACAGCAAGTGATCTGACATAAAAATTCATGATGTGACATTCAAGCTCAAGCAAAGTTGGAAATTCCAAAGAGAAGTTGTGATATCTTTACTTAGAAGGGTAAAGATGGGAGAAAATGACATACCTGCAGCAGAAGTGGGCTGAAAACACTCTCTTCTCGGCTCCATCAGGAATGCCACCTGTTCTTGGGAATATACTTTAGAAAAAGGGCCAAAACTACGACTAGGCTTTCCAAATCTGAAGCATAAATTCACTTTTCCTCCGTTTGTCTGGATCTGGGAACCTGCGTTTGGTGTTAGCTAGTGGAAGCAGTATGTATGGCCGAAGTGCTTTGCTGCAGCTGGTAGCATGAGTGGTGGCCACCAGCTGCAGCTGGCTGCCCTCTGGCCCTGGCTGCTGATGGCTACCCTGCAGGCAGGCTTTGGACGCACAGGACTGGTACCGGCAGCAGCAGTGGAGTCTGAAAGATCAGAGCAGAAAGCTATCATCAGAGTGATCCCCTTGAAAATGGATCCCACAGGAAAGCTGAATCTCACTTTGGAGGGTGTGTTTGCTGGTGTTGCTGAAATCACTCCAGCAGAAGGAAAATTAATGCAGGTAAGGATAACTTTACTATATTTCACCTTCCATCTGTTTGAAATATACCTTTCTTCTTTTGTCTCCCAAAGCAAATATCATACAAGAGTTTCAACTGCTTGACTATTTGTTCCATTTTAAAGATAGTGCCTTACTGGCATTCTAAATCAAATTCTATATTAAAAAAGAAACATATAAATCCTATATTTTAGAAGACTGTCTTCTTATTTCTAACTCTGCTATTAACATTTCCTTTTTAGGCACACATTAAGATTTTTATTTGCAACTGATTGTTAACACTGTTTTATGATAAACAAAATGGGCTTGCATTTAATTGACCTGAGGATTGTACTTTACATCCTGTTTAAATTTGAAGTGAGCACTAAGGAGATGATTGATCTTAATGGTCAGCAGCATCCTGAAATTCTGGAATGCCTTTGGAGCATATTTGATTACTGTGTCACTTAAAATGTAGTCAAACTTTAATGCTATGGCTGGTCTTACCTCACGTATGGTACCCTACTGCTAAGCCCAAAATGTAGAGGACTGGATTACAAAATGGACACAAGCTGTGAAAGTGTCTCTTCATCACTTTGGTCTTGTCCACACATTGTTTTATTATTTTTTAAAGTTTAAAATTTAGCATCTTTTTTTATTGATCCACAACTTTTTTAGACTCATTTTCTTAAACTTTCTGTCTCTGAGTTTTGCCTATAATTTATTCACAGCCTACTCTTTATGCGTTGAATCAGGACTTCAAACTGGTTCTTCCCCAGTTCAGTCATGGCCAGCAAAGTGAAACGCAAATGAAGCCGAATTTGTAAAATGTGGGCATACCGGAATGATAAGTGGAATGGGAAAAATTACAGATTGATGCCCTGATAGAAACTTCATCTCCATCCTAGAAAACAAGGGCAATGTCTGTGTGTGTGTGTGTGTGTGTGTCCGTGCATGTGCGTGTATGCACGCGTGCGCCCATACTGCATAGCAACCAAATTTCTTGACCGGCAGAGATGGAAACAGTGGTGCCCGTGCCCAACTGCATAGCTTTGAATGTGAGTTGTGCTCCACAGTCCTGGCAATAATCCAATCTACTGCATCAGGTTCCTGAAAGGACTCATTACATCTCTTCTGAGTCTCCTATTCCAGGGCTTTGACCTGCAATTTTTCCCGTACAGTTATCATTCCAGTATACCCACGTTTTACAGCAAATTTGAATCTGTTCCACTTATGCTGCATAAGCCATTATTGAGCCAGTTCAAACCAGTTCTAAGCCCTGTATTGAATTTATGAACTGTCTGGGGCCATAGAATTTCATAGACCAATTGCTCATTGCCCATGATCAAGATAGAGCCTAGAGGGCTGAACTTTTTAATGTGTCATTCTAGTGTATTCTTGTCGTTGTTAGTTCCGACTCATAGTGACTCTAGGTACAACAGAAGGAAACACTGCCTGGTCCTGTGCCATCCTCACAGTTGTTGCTGTGTTTTAGCTCATTGTTGCAGCCACTGTATCAATCCATCTTGTTGAGAGTCTTCCTCTTTCTTCACTGACCCTCTGCCTTACCAAGCATGATGCCTTTCTCCAGAGACTGGTCCCTCCTGATAACATGTCCAAAGTAAATGAGACAAAGTCTCACCATCCTCCCTTCTAAGGAGCATCTGGCAGTACTTCTTCCAAGACAGATTTGTTTGTTCTTCTGGCAGTTTATGATATATTTAATATTCTTCACCAACACCATAATTCAAAGGCATCAGTTCTTCTTTGGTCTTCCTTATTCATTGTCCAGCTTTCACATGTATATGAGACAATTGAAGATACCATGACTTGGATCAGGCACACCTTTAGTCCTCAAAGTGACACCCCTTGCTCTCTAGCACTTTAAAGAGGTCTTTTCCAGAAGATTTGCCTAATGCACTACATCATTTGATTTCTTGACTGCTGCTTCCATGGGTGTTGATTGTGGATCCAAGTAAAATGAATTTTTTTTTTTTTAATTTTTATTGTGATTTGGGTGAAAGTTTACAGAGCAAATTCATTTTCCATACAGCAGTTTTGTTTCATGACATTGACTGCAATTCCCCACAATGTAACAGCTCTCTTCCCACTTTCTCCCTGTAGTTACCTCTTCCCTATGTCCTTTCCTATTCATGCCTGCTCCCTGAGATATCTCCCTGTGCAAATACTGCCTTTCTGTTCTCCCACGATTGATTGTTCTAAGGAGCGTATCTGCTTGATATAAATGTTCACCTTATGTGCCTGTCTGTTGTTTGGCTGGAATCCACAGGAGGGAGTTCAATTCCAGACCTAAAGGGTAAGTAGGATCTGTAGTCTCGGGGGTCTCACCAGGCTCTATCAGAGTAGTAAATCTGGTCTTTTTTATGATTTTGAATTTTGTTCCACTTGTTCTCACACTCTATCCAGGACCTCCTGCACTGATCCCTTTCCGAGTGGTTGACAGTGGTAGCCAGGGACCATCTAGTTCTTCTGGTCTCATGGTCATATAGGCTGAGGTTCTTATGGTCCACTGTCCCTTGGACTAATTGTTTCCATGTGTCTTTGGTTTTCTTCATTCTTCTTTGCTCTGGAGGAGGAGAGATCCATTGTTGCACCTAAATGGCCACTTGCAAGCTTTTAAGATCCCAGTCGCTACTCACTAAAGTAGGATGTAGAACAACATTTTTGTGTTATGCCAATTGAGCTTTATGTCCCAAGACCATGGTCCTGACTCCACAGGTCCTACATCTCACTCCGTCAGGGTGGTTGACTGTGCCTAAGAAATTACCATAACTTTGCACCCTGTTAGTTCTAGTTATATGGATATTCTTATAGCACATACAGATATGTATGGAGAAATATCATCTACCAACCTTATATCATGGGTATGTACCATATATCATGGGTATATTCTCTTTTGCCTAGACATACCTGGTAATTCAGCCCATTTACCCACCTATTTACTTGTAGTTTAATGTTTGTTATCCCTAATAATGGAGTTAAAATGAAATTCTTGACATCTCAAAACTTTTCTCCATTTATCATGATGTTGCTTATTGGTTGTTCTACTTGTGAGGATTTTTGTTTTCTTCATGTTGAAGTGTAGTACATTCTGAAAGCTATAGTCTTTGATCTTCATCAGTAAATACTTCAAGTCATCTTCACTTTCAGCAAGCAAGGTTGTGTTACCTGCATATTGCAGGTTGCTAATGAGTCTTCCTCCAGTCCCGATACCACATTCTTCTTCATATAGTCCATCTTATCAGATTTTTTGCTTAGCATACAGATTAAATAAGTATGGTGAAAGGATACAACCCTGATGCACACCTTTCCTGATTTTAAACCATGCAGTATTCCCTTGTTCTGTTCAAATGACTGCCTCTTGGTCTATGTACAATTTCCCCATGAGCACAATTAAGTGTTCTGGAATTCCCATTCTTTGCCATGTTATCCACAATTTGTTATGATCCACACAGTTGAATGCCTTTGCATAGTCAATAAAACACAAGTAAACATCTTTCTGATATTCTTTGCTTTCAGTAAGATCCATCTGACAGCAGCAGTGATATCCCTCATTCCATGTCCACTTCTGAATCTGGCTTAAATTTCTGGCAGTTCCCTGTCTACATTCTGCTGCAACCATTTTTAAATTATTTTCAGCAAAATTTTACTTCCGTGTGATATTAATGACATTGTTTGATAATTTCTGCAGTCTGTTAGATCACCCTTCTTTGGAATGGGCACAGATATGGATCTCTTCCAGCTGGTTGGCCAGGTAACTGTCTTCCACATTTCTTGGCATAAAGGAGTGAGCATTTCCAGCATTGCATCTATTTGTTGAAACATTTCAATGAGTATTCTGTCAATTCCTAGAGGTTTGTTTTGCACCAATGCCTTTAGTGCGGGAGCTCTGGTAGCATAGTGGCTAAGACACTTGCCTGCTAACCAGACGGCTGGCGGTTCAAACCCACCAGCCACTCCTCGGAAGG